TTATTCTTGTTGAACTTTAACCCTTTAAGCTGAGCTTGTTGCAAAAGGGCATTCAGCTTCTTGTCATGGTCAATCTTAGCTTCTTGAACTGTGTTTCCTTTTCCAAATACCATAACATCATCAGCTATTACCACAACCCCTTCAAGCTTTTCGTGAACTCTTCGTTGAAACTCTTCAGGAGCATTAGCAACACCAAAAGGTAGTCTAGTCCAACGAAATCTGCCTTTGGGGGTCCAAAACGTGGTTAGCCTGCTAGATTCCTCATTTAGCTTTACATGCCAAAACCCATCCTTAAGGTCCAGAACACTAAAGAACTTTGCTCCATGTAGCTGTGGAGCTATTTCCTCGATAGTTGGTGCTTGATAATGAGACCTTTTAATGGCTTTATTAAGGTGAAAAGGATCTATACAAAGTCGTATCTTGTTAGGTTTCTTCACTACTACTAAACTACTGACCCAATCAGTAGGCTCTGTTACCTTGACGATGACTCCGAGCTGTTCAAGTCTATCTAATTCAGCACATATTTCTTTTTTCAACACTAGAGGATGTCGCCTGGGTGCCGCTATTGAAGGTGGTACCGACGGGTCAGTTCTTATGCTGCAAAGACCTTCAAAACACCCTAATCCTTCAAATACAGTAGGAAATTTATCAAATATCGTATGTTGATGTGTGGCCGTTTGGTTAGATGCTGTGAGAGCCTGGAAAACCTCTTCATCTGTTGAAATCAAGCCTAGTCGAAGACAATCTGCTGCTCCTATAAGAGGATTTCTCTCAGAATTCAGAATTTCAAATTTTAAATAAAAAATATTCTTTTTGAATTTTGTTTTAAGCACAATGCTGCCTAGTGAGTTTTGGGATGACCCGCCATAGAAACACAAAGTAGTGGAGCTACTGTTAAGTTTAGGATTTTCATCATCCAGAATAGTTTTTAGATCTCGTAGCCCCATAACGTTACAAGTTGCACCTGAGTCAAGCTGGAACTTTCTGAGCTTTTTGTTGACCATCATTTTTACAAAAAGTCGTTTTTTGTACTGGATATCGTTAAGTTCCATTACTTCCTCTTCACTTTGGCTATCTTGATTAGCTTCACTGTCATTATCTTGGACCAAATTAACTTTACCGGAACTTCGGCACACGCTGCTGAAATGGTTCTTCCTTCCACAATTGCTGCAAACTTTACCAAACGCAGGGCAGTTTTTTGCTCCCTTGATATGGTTTTTACCACAAAAACGACAGGTCCATTTGTTATTTAAGTGTCTACTCTTTGCTTGAAATGCCGCCTCTTCTGATTTCACTGTCATTTTTGTAACAAACCTTTCAGTTGTTTCATGATGCATACATATTTCTATAGCTTCATCAAGTTTTAGGTCTTTTCTACGCAAAAGTGTCCTTTTTAATTCAGTATTGGTTATGCCTACAACAAGTTGGTCACAAATTAGAGTATCTTCAAGGCCTAGGCTATCTTGCCCAGATTTGCTAAAGAATCAATATCACACAATCGTATTTGCTCTTTTAAACGACCTATAAAGTCTTTAGTTGCTTCATCAGTCTTTTGAACGATGCCATTAAAAATGAATCTCTCATACAAAGGATTGTTTGTCCCTAAAAAATACTTATCCAAAGCTTCAATTACCTGATCCAGGGTTGATTCATTGGAGCCAAGTATTTTTTCAATCAAACATAGTCCATCGCGGCCAATTACAGTTAAAAACATGGCCATCTTCAGTTTAGGTGTACTTAACCTTGTACCACCTAATGCTCCTGCTTCAGCTAAGATCAAATAGTTCTTCCATTGTTTCTTGAACACTTCCCAGTTTTCTCTTACTCGCGTTGGGTTACTTAAGTCCAGTGGATTCGGTACTACTGACACCATGTTATTTTATCTATTAATTAAACTATTTTAATTAAATAATCATTTCTAAACAAGATAGTGTTTATTCTCCAAATTCATAACATAACATAAAAATCAACAACTAGAGATCAGCTGGTTATAGCAATACCAACAACCGGTATATATAACAGAATGATATTGAACCTATATTCCAGCTTAATTAAAATACAAAAAATGGGACTTTTTATAAACATAAGTGAAATTTATATGCCATATATTGGCTATATATATATAAGCTATTACCGTAGGTCTTATGGTAAGATCTTGACCCGGGGCAGATTTTTGTTTGTATTGAGCTCCCCAGAGGCCAAATACACCGTTTGTTCAATAATAGTACGATTTTGGCAAAATTTGGAACAAACATGTAAACCTACGTTTTTTCAAAGGAGTTTGCAAACCAGCATGGCCGGACTAATAAAGTAAGAAAACCATATCTCTAAGAGTGGTGCCCATGGCCTCCCTCCCTCGCACCCTTTTCCCTGTCATAGATACATGTTTCCGCAATGTTCCACCTTGAAATGTTTGCAGAGGACCTGCCAACCCTTTGTCAGGTGGCAGTAATCAGTAGTGTCCGCTTTTACCCTCTTTAATTATGTGTTCCCAAAGTTCTGTGTTCGCTTTTGCCGGGCAGCATAGGCGCGGGCAGTGTAGGCAGTGTGGGCAGTGTAGGGTGGAAGTAAGGAAAGCCTGGACTGCAAACATTTCCGCTGCCTCACGGGGTTGACATCCCTTATATTATGTTGTTGTATTATGCACTTGAGCGCTTTCATGTGAGTTGCAAGGACAGTTGACGCAACCAGCATGACGAGACGTAATGTTTTTTAACTAGATGCTAGTAGCGATCGGCCAAATGTTAACTTAGATGTCATGAGCTGTACAGTTTTATAGTGGAATCCAAACCGTAAATTTGAATCCATTAAACAAAGGGCTGCCACTCTATACTCAAAGACTCAATTTTACTATGACACTCAGGGGCTTCACTCAAGGGGGGTTAGGGGGGGATCCACCCCCCCCCCCCCAATCATCTTTGACAAGAGTAAAAGTTGGGAATTTTTTGGTATTTGAATGTATGAGTTGGGATTTGGTAAGTTTGGAACTGTCCGTTAAACTGAAGACGTAAAGGTTTATTTTCAAAGCATGTACGGAAGACATCTATGTAAGTAAAAACTAATAATTAAAGTAAAACAGTGTTGGAAATTTCATATTTTGATTAATTACTATGGTATGTAACGTAACATAGCTGTAGTACGTACTGGTACTCAGTAATTCAATGTTTTTGGAGGATTTATCTCTGAGCTGCGCTTGAAGAGCCGTATCCACTGAGTGTTTCCATAGTTGTGTCCATTTTGATGGACAAAGACTTAATGAATAAAATGTACATGTTAAAAAGTAGTATAGAACATTTCTTTAATGTTATATAATCTTACGTTTGTGTACTTTTAAATAGAAGGAAATCTTAAAAATCCTGATTTTTATTTTAACTAAAACCATCTTCCCAATTTTGAGGGTTAAGTAGGGCGAGTAAAAATCCTCAAATTGGCTGAGAAAACACTTCAGAGATATGTTAAAAGAAATAAAAGATCAAACTTGCCCAAAACATTTTTTAACCTACTGGGGCAGCCAAAACCACAAAAACCAGGAAATAAGTTCAAATTTAAGCTTGAATTTGGGAGTGGAAGAGTGAAGATGGAAAAAAATGTCAAGATACAAAGTTGTAGATCGTCAAAAGTAGTGACTGTTTTTGGATCTATGTTTTCCGACAAGACCGACGGTCGAGCAGCAACAGACGTTGTGAGGAAAAAATTCCAAAATTTGAAGTTTAGAGCGATACATAAGGGAGAAGGGATGGAGATAGGATAAAACTTTAAAATACATAAACACTTTAAAATAAATAACAGCTCCTAATGATGCCACACTTGTGGCGAAATGTACATAGAGCGTAAACTTCTTAATTCATCAAGAACCTGGCAACCATAAGGTAAACAACAAAAATAATAAGTTTTAGCCCGTCTAAATCTAAATACAGTAAGTTACTCCCCCAATTACCCATGATAAAGGTTGTTGACAAGCTAATGGGAGAAAGTATAAGTGTCAGATTGCTGATACCGTTTTTTTTTTTATTTCTTTCCGAAAGACTGTTTTGTCTTATTTAAATGTATAGTTTCATGTGTTGAATTGTTTGGAAATGTAAATAAAGTTTAGTTTGTTGTTTTGGTTCGTCATGAACACGAGCACATTTCTTCTGTTGAAATAAATCTTACTTTAGCCTTTTGCTATTACTGATGAATTTAATTATTATACTGACATTGTCCGTGATATCATATACAAGTGAATCATGTGTATTGACGACTACAAGGTATTATATCCCTTACCTGCTATTTCTATTAATACTTTTCATTGAAATGGTGACCATACAAAGTAGGTATTTTTAGCCAGTAGGTATCTCTATGATATGAGGATCAAAATAATTGCTTTCCCAATCAACATTGTTGTTTTATAAAATAAGCAAATTCTGAATTTGAATTATCAGCTCTCACGTTTGCTGTTGTTTCATTAAATGTGATGAATTTGATAAATTTTTCTATTGAAATAGTGTATCTTTAATGTGGTACAGTTTACCAGGTAATAAACTGTCTCCACCTCCTGTTTTCAATTTCTTCTTTTTGAACTCAAGGAATTTTCTGTACATTGGTCTATAATCTCCTAATTATTACCTATTACAAACATCAAAACTTACTCCCAAAAAGCAGCCCAGTTTTCTTTTTATAAACTGGTTTTTTTCTTTTAAAATTTGTTCTGTGTAATTCTCATGGGGAAAAATCATAGATCTCTATATAGATCTATGGGAAAAATCCACCTTTGAGAGTGCCTCACGTCCTTAAGGGTAAAAGTTTTATAAATTCTAAAACCTTATTACATCACAACAAATTGAGACAAATTTTTTGTCACCTCAAATGTTGAAATTGGTCCGCAAATAAGGGAAGAGTAGTGTAAAAAAAAAGGCTTCACATAATATAGATATAGATAGATTTTCAGGCTTTGGTTTGCCAAACAAAACAACATAAAACATCTGCTACAATAATGAAAGGTATACAAGTGAGCTATTTACCTTGCATGCATCCTTCCCAACCTGGCCACCAGCGCAGATGAAGCTGTCGTGTAGCTTGAAGCGTGGTCCCAACCGTGTCTTGCGTAGAGCCTCCTGACAAGCTCCTCGCTCCACCACTCTCAGATCATCCACTCTCTTCAGGATGACCTGATACTTGCCCTCCTTACCTGAACAGTGAACAGATCCAATAAAAACATTGTCAACTTGTCTTCTTCAACCAAACACAACATTCCTCTGCTAACTTCTTTGTCCTGCAATGTCGTTACACAAAATGGCACTATTAATAACATATCACAGCACAGCCTAGTTTTTGATATGCATTTATTTAATTATATCAATATATTTTTACTAAGGTGCACTAAGCTATCAGTAAAATCTTATATATAAAAGAGGAAGTTTGTATATATATTTGAACGTTATGGACTCCGAAACCGCTTGACAGATTGTAATGAAACTTTCAGGCATTATTAAGCATTATTCAAGGAGGGTTTGTGTGAAGTTTGGTGCAGATTCGTCAAAAGGGCTCTGCCCCAGTGACTTTTGAGTTTCCCATGTTAACCTTATGAGTACTCATATTTAAATGGAATTAAAGAATCTTAACAGCTGTTTCAACTAAACAATTTTATTCTGTGATGATCAATAGCATTAAAAGGTTACAAAATGTACCACAGGGTGCTGCACTATTAATTGTCTAAATTTAAACTCGAGAACAAGTGCACCGAATTGAATGATTCATTTTTTGCTGTCTTCCTTATTAGTGCCAGGGGAAGGTTTTTATGTAAGGAAATTTATAGTCCATCCAACCTTTATTGAGAAATTTGATTTAAAAAATAAAAAAATGACCTTTACATTAGCATTGGAGGAAAATGTTTTCATAAACTGTGGGATACAAGTATGTGCTAATTACCAACCAAAACGTGAAGGCAAGTGAGCGCAGCGAACGAGCTCCAACCAGCGAGCAAGGATACAGTACCACCAAAAGGTGAGTGAGTGTAGCGAACGAACTTCAACCAGGACGTGATTGAGTGATGCAAACTAGACTAGCTCATCTTGAAAATGAACGAGCATTTGACATAAAACCACATTAGGACAGGACGACGTCTGTCGGGCCAGCTAGTCATAGATAAAACAAGGGACTATGTTTTATCCGTGGTAAAATGTAAAGATCAAACAAAAAATGTAACAGTATGTTGTTAATTATCAGAGGCACTAAGCAATGGCCTTCTATATGGTGTCTGCACAGAACATCTTTATTAAAAATTAGTGAAAAATGTATCAAGGAATATAAAGATTAAGTTTCAAAATCTGGACATTTATTTTTTGCAGTTAAAAATAATAAAAAAAAAACATAGTCATTTTTAAATTTAAGGGTCGTTTTTAGCGAATTTCCCCTATAAGCAAGAAGCTACTGTATTACACTGTACGTTTCATGGTAAAGCCTAGCCCCGGGACTGATTTACTTTTTAATTTTGATCTCCCCAGAGGCCAAAAACACCATCCGTTCAAAATGTTATATGTAGCCTATATATATATACGAATTTAAAAATAATATATAGATATTATTGTGATTAGGGCTACTATCATGGTAGAAGGATTTTCCTTTCACCATGGGCTACTATATATATATATATTTGAATATATTATAAAAACATTAGTAGGCCTACCCTTTTAATTCATTTACTATTTCATAATTAATACCCCCGCCGCAGCAAACCGCAGACTAAGCGAATTTCAACTTGTCTGATTACATATTTACTAAAATATTTCCATAAATAAGACATATTTATTCCCAATTTAAAAAACACTAGTGTACCTGTTGCCAGAATTCGAGCAATTGCGAAGCATTACAGGCGACTCAAAGACTATGGAAATACTCACAATCTACACAACAGTTAGATATAATCAAAATCTTTTGTAAATATCTTATCTTTTTTCAAAAAGCTGATCTTGTTTTTTTAGCGTTTTCTACAAATTTTTCCCTCTCATAGCCGCATTAGGTTGTCTATGATAACGATTATAAATGGAAAAAAAACATTATTTCTTTCTATTTCTTCTACTTGGTTGTGTAATATGACTTTTTCTATGTTTCTATTGTTTGCAAATCGGTTATTTCAATGATTTCTCAAGAAATGTAGAACAGTGTTAATTCAATTTTATTTTTAGCCTCTATATCAAATTGTCCAGGATTTCTCGCTCTTTACCATTCTAATAATTACACCAACCCAAGTTTCGTCTACAGATGTAATATGCCAACGAATATCACCTACGTACAATCTCCAAGAAGGGGTAAAAAAGGCAGAAACCAACCCATACAATAGATATAAGTTAACTCCAAAAGAAATAATTTTAAGAGTTACTGTGATATTAGGATTTTCCACTGATTTGTTAATAGAACATTATATTGCAAAACATGACACGATGCAGAAGAAAATCCATTTTAAAATCAGAAAAACCCATTGCAAATACTGTACTTCATTTTGACAAATTCAATAAATCACAATTTAAATATTAACAGCTGTTCCATTAAAATTAGTGTAGAATTATGCATATGGTCGTAATGTAAACAAATCTGAAGAGGCAACTTTAAAGGCTTCTGGGGCAGAGACCCAAGGGAATTTACCTCGTTCCTCTTTTGATGGCTCATCTACAAACCAAGACCTTTCTTTAGAGACCACTACCAAGTTTCTACGCCCAGCCGATCTCTCAAATTAGCAGTGACAAAAACCTCGTTTTCCTCTATAAGAATAACATGGGATGGGAATTCAAAGGCCACTGGGGCAGAGCCCCAAGGGAATTCACCATGTTTCTCTTTTGATGGCTCATCTCCAGACCAAGACCTTTCTTTAGACACCTCTACCGAGTTTCTACGGCCAGCCGTTCTCTCAAAATAGCTGTGACAAAGAAAAACAGTTTCAAATTAATATATAGACTAGTGTACCTGTTGCTCGAATTCGAGCAATTGCGAAGCATTACAGGTGACTCAAAGATTATGGAAATACTCACGATCTACACAACAGTTAGATATAATCAAAATCTTTTCTAAATATCTTATCTTTTTCCAAAAAGCTGATCTTGTTTTTTTTTAGCGTTTTAGTGTGAAAAAAACATTATTTCTATTTCTTCTACTTGGTTGTGTTCTATGACTTTTTCTATGTTTCCATTGTTTGCAAATCGGTTATTTCAATGATTGCTCAAGAAATGTAGCACAGTGTTAATTCAGTTTTATTTTTAGCCTATATCAAATTGTCCAGGATTTCTCGCTCTTTTCCATTGTAATAATTACACCAACCCAAGTTTCGTCTACAGATGCATTATGCCAAAGAATATCACCTACGTACAATCTCCAAGAAGTGGTAAAAAAGGCAGAAACCAACCCAAACAATAGATATAAGTTAACTCCATAAGAAATAATTTTAAAAGTAACTGTGATATTAGGATTGTCCACTGATTTGGTAATAGAACATTATATTGCAAAACATGACACGATGCAGAAGAAAATCAATTTTTCCTACAGTCACCCGACAAAGTTGGCTTCCTTGTACTGTTTATAGTACAGAAAGCTGCTAATTGCTGCATATTTATACTTTGCCGTACGGTTTATACTTTGCCGCACATCAGGATTCCAACGAAACAACACAAAACAGCGTGGTTCTATTATGCACGTAATCCGTGTACGCTTGGAAATAGGTTGGCAACACTTAAAGATAATAATACTATGAGCAGCTGATTGACTATTATAACTACGATTTAACCTGTCATTTCGTGTTTATAGTTTCGGTATTTCTGAACTTTCTGGACTTTTCTTTTAAACGTTTTTAAAACATTCCTACGATCTTAATAAACAAGAAAATACCTTTAAAGCATTTTTTTTAGGCGCGGAAGCCACTTCAAATTACAAAAACATACGGAACTATATTCTCAAAACGCAGAGCACATTTCTTGCCGAGAAAAATTGCGGAGTGATACGGACCGCGGGTACTACTTTCTCTAGGGCACCATTTGTGTTGCCAGCTGAACCTAAAAACGTGTTGTATAGTGTTTGAAAGACTAATTATTTATATGCTTTATAGTGACTATAGGAAAAATATAATGTGTAACACGAGTGAAAAAGGCCTTTGCTGCACTCGAGATCATTCCGCACTCGCCTGCGGCTCGTGCGTAAACATTGCTCTCGTGTGCAGCAAAGTGCCACTTTCACCACTAGTTACACAAATAACTATTAAAATCAGAAAAATCCATTGCAAATACTGTACTTCAGTTTGACAAATTCAATAAATCATAATTTAAATATTAACAGCTGTTGCATTAAAAAAAGTAGTGTAGAATTATGCATATGGTCGTAATGTAAACAAATCTGAAGAGACAACTTTAAAGGCTTCTGGGGCAGAGCCCCAATGGAATTTACCTCTTTCCTCTTTTGATGGCTCATCTACAGACCAAGACCTTTCTTTAGAGACCCCTACCAAGTTTCTACGCCCAGCCGTTCTCTCAAATTAGCTGTGACAAAAACACCGTTTTCCTCCATAAGAATAACATGGGATGGGAATTTAAAGGCCACGGGGGCAGAGCCCCAAGGGAATTCACCATGTTTCTCTTTTGATGGCTCATCTACAGACCAAGACCTTTCTTTAGACACCTCTACCGAGTTTCTACGCCCAGCCGTTCTCTCAAAATAGCTGTGACAAAGAAAAACAGTTTCAAATTAATATATAGATTAGATTTAACAAGTGCTTAGGTTTGCTGCTACGGGGAAGGTAATTAGTTTTTTTGACCAAATGTCAATAGTATAGGAAGAAATAAATAAATTTGCCTAATTTGATCAAAATATATCCATCAACAAGTAAACTACAACAGTTTTCATTTTCTCCATAAGAATAACATGGGAATTTTGAATTTTCTCCGTAACCATTAGGCATACAACAATGCTTCAATATACTAAATTATTTCTTTTTTTAAGCTCTACAAAATGGTCAGGAAAGAAATTCCAAAGTTGTATGTTTTTAGGGTCAAAAAATGGGAAAACCCATTTTTACCCCATAAAATCCCTCACAAACCCCCGTTCCCATGGTCCAATCATGCTGGTTCGCGAACTCGTTCGAATAAATGTAGGTTTACACGTTTATACAAAATTTCATCAAAATCGGATAACTTTTGTTTGAGTTATCGTGCTAAGGGACATACATATATACAGGGGGTAAAAAATAACACGGGGTCTCCACACTTTTTACTAACCCTGTATATATATATATGAATTTGAACGGATGGTGTTTTTGGCCTCTGCGGACCTCAAAATGAAAAAGTAAATCGGTCCCGGGTCCAGGTCTTACCATGAGATCGACGGTAATAGCTTATTCACTATATGGGAAATTCGCTAAAATGAAAAAGGGTACTAATGTTTTTATAATATATTCAACTATATATATAGTGTAGCCCAGGGTGGAAGGGAAATCCTATTATTTCATAATTAATTTCAATATGGTCTCTATGGTCACAATCATGTTGTCATCTTAATCAAATACAATAACAAATAATGAAAGGAATAAATACAACCATAGAGAATCTTGATATCTTTCTTTGTTTAATTTTGTGTATATTATATAATATTTCTGTTTTATTGTAATTGAAGGATTTTTTACAAATATCGGATTTGTTTTGCTGATGTTCATGGTATTAAATTATTGAATCTCCCACTGCAATGCAGACATTCATTGCGAGATGACTAAAGGTTAGGTCCTTAATGCAATGAGTGAGGGTAAAGTGCAGAAATGGGTTATGGAGTTAAAAAATTGCCATGAAAGCCTTTTTACTGTGTGGTCTTCTATAAGAAGTCTGGGTACCCACCAAAAACCCAATTCCTTCTGAGATTAACATTTCTCACGGTCATTTTTAAATTCCCTAGTCCATTTCTGCACTTTCACTCTATCTTTTTTGAAATTGCCACTTGTCAGTTTAGTAAGCAACCTTACTTTCTCTCATGGCTATACCTTCTTCGGTATAGTTTTTTTTTTAAGTTGTAGCTTTGTTACTGACTAAGATCAGCTGTTTCATCAGTCAGGATGATTTATTTAAAGTCCAATGATCAGGGACAGCTGGGTCCAGTTTCGAACCTTAAAAAAGCTACTGACTTTTCTCAGAATTATGAACCGGCGACCTTTTGATTGTTAGGTGAGCACTTTAACCACTCAGCCAGCATCCACTCAGCACCCAGTGGGTCGAATTTGTTGGTTAATGTTCTGGTATCTTAATAATTATCACTGTTGAATATATATCTTGACATACCGAAGGAATCCTTGCCCCAGCCGGGGACGACACAGTTCCTGTTATCCATGTTCTCCCCCTGCTCCGGCAGACATAGTGTGCTCACTACAGGGTTCAGCTCCAGTGGCTTGTCCAGTACGATGAGTGCCACATCATTGTGTAGCCCTCCTGCATAGTACTGCTCATGTATGATCACTTGCTTCACATCACGATCCTGCGTTGGGTACTCCTCCTTCTCTGTCTGTGTGTCCCACTCTCCTGCTCGGATGTACAGGTCTTTTTTTCTAAAAAGGGATATTAATGTATCTTTCAATATAAACTACTTCTTATCTTGTTTGATTACAACTACTGTAGTTGTAAATGTGTAATATTTTAAAAACAGTATTATTGCATTCTGCAGCTGAAATTGTTTAAAGATACAAGTATCTATATTGATCAGTTTCAAAAATGATTTAAATCTTCAACTGATTGATTTCTAAAAGGCTTCTGACATGACATTCATTGTACAGTATAGCCTAAGTGGATTGATCTCACTGATTTACAATCCCGGAAAATTTTTAGAAATTTAAGGTCTAAACACACAGTTTTTGTGCACTTAGATCCTTTTTTTAGAACATTACATCTTTATTTTTGTTATTTTTGCCTCCTGGATCACAATATATAAATTATTACTAGAGGTTAAAATACCTTATAACCCGTCAGTGTGATCAAAAAGTCACCGATGAGTCTGGACTTGTAACTCAATGTGCACATACCGTCCGCCGCGCAGTCAATTTGTGGCCACACGTGTTTTTGTAAAAATGTGATTAAATGTTTTAACTGTTCTTCGTTTTGTATTTATTGACTTTATGACGACCTTTTCGGGGTAATTATGTGTCCATTCAACGCCTGATGATGACCCCTTTGATGGGTTGAAACCGGTCGCCTTTCATCGGTGACTTTTTAATCACACTGACGGATTATAAGGTATTTTAACCTCTAGTAATAATTACATCTTTGTCTCTCAATTTGTTTGATTTAATATTGATTGAATTCATAAGCTATATACTTTTTTGTACCTTAAACCACTATTTTACACTTATATTGCAGGTTCTCTACCAATTTTATAAAATTCTTTTTATCAAGAATGGTCAATTTTATGCCCCTCCAAAAGGCTGGAGTGTGCGTCTACATACGTCACACACCCTCCAGGCGGGCCCTGGAATTAACCTTTCATACATCACATTTTGGATAGTCTAGCAAACAAAACAAGCAATATGAAAGGGTCTTTGAGAACATATTTCACACCCATTTAGATATCATTTTTTACTATGGGCACATGTAAACCCACCCCTTACCCTTTGACACAGTGAGCTCCGGTGAGGATGACCCTCGGATGGATGATGGAGCCTCCACACTCCATGACCTTGAGCGTGATATCAGCAATGACACGGTCCCGTCTGATAATCGCCACCATCCAGGGGAACTCGCCATAGTTGGCCTCGTTGTTGGTGTCGCCGGTGATCTTGAAACCAACACCGTTCTGGTGTCTGACACCACACACGTTTGCGGTAGGTGTCAGTGGAGTGACAGGTGGAGTAACAGGGGGCTCCTTAGTAGGAATATTGTCCATGGGAGAGCAGCACCTGTCTAAGTAGTGCTTACACTCTGCCTCTGGATCATCGGGATCTATCCTGGAACACATGAGGTAACAACGCATTGAGATCAATGTCAAACTGTGTGCTGGAATATAACACATTGTCTGTGAGAAAAGTGGCTATAGTGAGAAGGCGAGAACAGGGTAAAATAATCATTAACTTAGTTTGTTACTATTGTCAGTGTGGTGATTTTTGATAACCAAGCTGGAACATTAGGCACGAGTCACACTCCACACTTCCTCAATTAATGACCCAACAAAGGTCGTTTACATATATCGACGCAGTTCTTAATACATCCGGGTCTGAGCTACTATCAGACATTGATTTTACTAGCCGTTATGAGTTATGAAAATGTGACAAAAAACATCACGCTCTAAACTATAATACTTGATTGTATGATTGCGGAATAATTATTAACATGAACAACTTATTGTTTTATACGAGTTGTTTGCATACGAACCAGGTTAGGTGGAGGTAGGGTTGCCAACTTTGGTTAGGGCAAAATCGGGAGGGTTCATACAAACCAAGCACAAGGTCCCAATCCCCAAAAGTGTTGTGTCAACTACGCTGAACTCCGCACATGACCTGCCAGGTACCTCTGAATCTTCACAGTCCGTATAAATGGTTCTGTAATGTGTCATTCATTCCCAAACACAACAATACATTGGAAATCCTAGAATGCTTGAATGGAATAAAATACTCAACCGCTTATTATAAAATACTAGCCAATATATTTTTAAAACATCTAGTGCGATATACAAGTGGGTTGATGCACCTACGAAAATACTGTTTAATACGGTAATAGTCCATATTACTGGCACTTTACTCGTTCTACAGTTTCAAGGTAAGGACCTTCCTTTTACACTTTTGCCACTGATTATAGTTGAACTGTTTTAAAATTATGGCTTAGACATCCCCATCCCCTAAATATTAGCTTTCGTTCAACAGAGGAATCATGAAAATAACCAGTAGGGGAACACTGTGCCATAATTCTTTCTCAGTAACTGCGGATTACCACATTCGGTTGCCCTAGTGAGAATTTTAGAATTCGTAACTTCTTGCACTCTACCAGTCTAATCACTCGTAAGACCAATACCAGGGGAATTACACTTTTATGTGTCAAAATTATTTCTCAGTTACTGTGTACTACCGTCCAATTGCTGCTTCAAAGACTAACTGCTAACATCGTATGTTAACAGATATTCAGTTTTAGAGGTACGTACACTGTTCTATTTGACTGCATGTCATCATTATTTAAATGCCGAATTTGTCACAAAACTCGTCACCATCCAGCCAGCAAGCATAAAAATAACTAACTTCTACGATAATTAACCATAGACGTATTTGGGTATGGAAACAGCTTTCTTCCCTCCCCTGATCTGGGATGCACGCGCAGCGGACTTGTGGCGAACCACCAACGCGTGCCGCCACGACCTCATGTTTTTAATAAAAAAAATTCAAATCAATGCAGTCAGACACGTAATGTGCGGCCAAACACAACGGAAGTCCCAAAAGATCAGGAGGAAGACCAACGAGAAGAAAGACTTCCTTTTGAAAAAGATCGATTAAGTAAAGAACAAATAAGTAATAAGTAACAAATTAAGTAAAGAACAAATAGATATTATAAATCTTTGTAATACATATAGTGCATAGGATACAAAAATTCACAACTGTAATAGTAGTTTACGCAACGATCGCGTAAAGATAGTGTTAACGACACGAGTACATAGCAATTTTAGCTTCGAGCCTTGGCGAGTGCGTTAAAAACTTCTACGAGTGTCTGTTATAAGACTATTTACGCGAGTTGCGTACACTACTTTACCTACGACAGCCTTTATTTACTAACAATCACTACTCATAGCTTCTAAGAGAGGTTATGTTTTCGTTTATAACCTCTCATTGCCACTGACAGTGATACAACGAATCATTGCACCAAACACTAAGTAGCACCACTCAACAATTAAATTGGTCTAAACAGCTGATTAGTTGACGTTCGAGGTTCGAAGCATTACAACTTTACTTCTTCTCTCTCAATCCTTGAACCTCATTGGTCCGTTAACCCGTGTTGTTATGAGTAAAACTGTGCTGTTATGAAAGTAAACAATGAACAATAATACTGTTATGTGAAACTTTTCAATTCTAAGGAGTCAAGGACTGAACTGAAACGATACTTTAAAAAAAACGGTTGTAGGTAAAGTAAGTAAACAATGCTGTTAAGTGGATCTTTTCAATTATAAGAATTAAACTGAAAAGGCTTCCTACTTTAAAAAACGGTCGTAGGTAAAGGTAATATTTGATGACAAGTTAGCTGTTATTTATTTGTCCCCTGATGTTAAATCATCCATGATATTTATCGGAAGGGTAGGTGGGGGCGTCCTGAAAGCTATCTCTCCCCCATGTGCGCGGTTAATGTGTCGACCTCCATTTTCGTGCGTGATTCGGGTGGCAACTCTGGGTGGAGGGTTGACACAAACTTGAAAACATTAGGGATGTTAATGTCGTGTGTTTTGAATTTTAAAATATCTAAAGAACTGTAATAAGACGATTACTGTAAATTGTAAAAAATACACATACACTTGTGTAACTGACTTAGGGCGTTTTCTATTGTTACAGCGCTTATTTGTGAGACATAATTTTTAGAACAACAATTTCAGCCTCCCTCCGTAATGAAGATGTACTTGTATAAACATTTGTTTTGTTTCAATGAGTGGAGGTATTGAATTGGCAACAGTAAATGAAGCATGTATTGTATTCTAAAGAACGGAAAATATTTCGAGGAAAAACTATAGACCTTTCCAGAAGTGGTAATTATTTTAAACTCTAGAAAAAAGGTGGCAGAGTTTTCCTTATGAAGGGACTACCATTCACGTGATTGAAATAAAATAATATGTAGTAAACGAAACAAAACCTTTGCTTGTGGAGATATATAAGAATATGCGAATCATCTAAAGCCGCGTTTACACCGGAGTTTCAAACAAAAAGTTGCAAACTTTTATTGCAAACACCAGTTGCAAACAGTAGTTTCAAATAAAAGTTTGCAATTTTTATTTCATGGTTTTGTTTCCATGTTTCATGAAAATGTTTGAGATAATTTCGACCTTGATTGAAATATCATTGATTGATAAAAAAACTCCCACTTGGTTTTCCCATCGTCGGCCCCCGATCCAGACTTATTGCCCTTTTTAGATTCTCTGTTAAATTGAATTATGAGGTTCCTCATCCTATTTTGGACCTCTGCCTTGCTTAAGTTAATTTCCCGTGAAATGTCATTCCACGCATAGTTTTTCTTGTTTTTGTTTTTATAGTCGAAAATAGTTTGATTCCAAAGCACTTCATGTTCTCTATAAAAGCTAATTAACTTAATAATATTGTTTGTAATCTCTTCACTCCATCTCACTCAGTAGATCATCACTCACAACACGCACGATACGAGATAAGTCACAACAATAACGAGGTAGCCGTCCAGACAGGGTACTGAGTCGAGATACAGGGTGGTGCGAGTGATCACGTGAGTGAGACAGGAGGTGGTAGCGTAGGGGATGGCGGAGAAATGTTTCTGTTTCGTGTTTCAACGGCTCATGGTGACCGAAACTAGTGTTGCAAACAAAGAGTTTGCAACTCCCTTTGATCTTTACCGACTTCAAGTGGAAACAAAAATTTCTGTTGCAAACACCGAAAAACTGTTTGCAACAGCGAAAAGTTTCGTCTGAAAATGGGCGTTTTTAGAGATGTTTGCAATTTCTGTTTGCAGCTCGTGTTTCAAACTCCGGTGTAAACGCGGCTTAAGGGGCCATGGAAAAATATCAGCCCTATTTAACCTTAATTGTGTTAACTGTTCTATTTATCTTAACCTGGGATTTTTGTCTTGGATGTAGAAAGCGCGGGACCCATTAAGTTATACAGTATGATATAGTATAGCATTGAATATATTGCATGGTCACAGGGGACAAACGCCGTTGTGTTGATGCTCATCGCTCAGCTCACCATTTCGATTCATCAAGATTGGGGGAGTCCAACGATGACATCAAGGCCACTTACATTCTCCGTCCAAGAATAATCCTTTTATATCGACCTACTTTCTCTTCCAATACAGATTTAGGATGTTTGCAAAAAGATTTCAAGTTTTATGACATTTGTAATAATTGCTTTAGTAAGAATAAGCATTTTTATTTGCGAGACAGTGACAGTGGAGTTGACCTAGAAACGTTGCATACGGTAACTAAGGCAGGTATACAGTATAACCTTTGACATTCAATAATCAATGGTATAACTCTCTCCATGAGTTGACCTAGAAACGTTGCATACGGTAACTAAGGCAGGTATACAGTATAACCTTTGACATTCAATAGTCAATGGTATAACTCTCTCCATGAGTTGACCTAGAAACGTTGCATACGGTAACTAAGGCAGGTATACAGTATAACCTTTGACATTCAATAGTCAATGGTACAACTCTCTCCATGAGTTGACCTAGAAACGTTGCATACGGTATAACTAAGGCAGGTATACAGTATAACCTTTGACATTCAATAGTCAATGGTATAACTCTCTCCATGAGTTGACCTAGAAACGTTGCATACCTTTATACCTTTATACCATACGGTAACTAAGGTTGGTATACAGTATATAACCTTTGACATTCAATAGTCAATGGTATAACTCTCTCTATTTTAACCTTTTTTTTTAATAAATGGGTCTAATTATGTAGCCTAAATATATTATGTAAATGTTTAATAACATCTTAAGCTCTTCGTTTAGCGCTTTCCCATATAGGCCTACGGAATAAGCTATTAACGTAAGGCTCATGGCAAGACTAGGGCCCGGGACCGATTTAGTTTTCCATTTTAATGTCCCTAGAAGCCAAAATCACCACCCGTTCAAATTTATATATGTGTGTGTTTGTGTGTATGTCCATTAGCACGATAACTCTAGCAAAATGATCCGATTTTAATGGAATTTGGTACAAACGTGTAAACCTGCGTTTGTCGAACGAGTTCGTGAACCAGCATGATCGGACCATGGGAACGGGGTTTTACGGGGGGATTTAATGGGTAAAAATTGCTTGTTTATGGATATATTTTGATCAGACTTGGCAAATCTATTTATTTATACTAAGCTACTCGGGAAATCTATTTATTTATACTAAGCTATAAATATATTTTACTAAAAAAACACACTTTATTACCCTCCCTGTAGGCAGCAAACCTAGGTAATCGTTAAACCTAATGTTATTTGAATTGATTTAATTGAAAATCAAATCAGGCAAATGGAAATTCGCTTAGTCTGCAGGTTTGCTGTGGTAAGGGTATGTATTTTATTGAATTGTTTCAGTATTGACTTAATACTATTGAGCCTAAAAACTTATTTTAGTATTGTGAGCTATACAAATATTAAAATCGTTCAATAATAATTTTGCTAAAGCTGGGTTTTCCTAGACGCGGAGTCGGCCAGCGGAGAGCGGAATTGAAATTAACATGGCATTCCGCTCTAAACTGTGTAATGTGTAATGCGGCTTAAGCCGGGTTTTCCTAGGCGCGGAGTCGGCCAGCCGAGAGAGGAACACGGAGAGCGGACTCAGCTTGTCTTAGGTAATTTAATGTTACTGTTTTCCTAGCAGCGGAGCGGAATGCCATGTTAATTTCAATTCCGCTCTCCGCGTTCCTCTCTCCGCTGGCCGACTCCGCGTCTAGGAAAACCCAGCTTAAAGGTCGATTTAACTGTTTTTGCTAGTGTTTCGACGTGACAGTAAAAATTATTCTGGTTATAAAACTAACATCATATAATACCGCATTCCCACTAGGTACTCACAGATTTTTTTTAGAAATTAACGGTTTTGTGTTTAGCGTTTATGTGTGTTTTCCTTAGAGCTTCAACGATTTAAGTGTTATATTTTACGTGTCAGTCATACAATATAATATTGCAACAATACAATATCTTACTAATATTATAAATCTGAAAGTTTGTGAGTTTGTGTGTATGTTTGTGTGTATGTTTGTGTGTGTGTGTTGCTCAATCACGCATAAACTACTAAACGGATTGGGCTGAAATTTGGCATGATGATAGCTCACATTCCCGATTAACATTAAAGCATATTCTTATCTCAAAAACCCTTTCGGGCTCCGCCCCAGTGGCTCTGTAGTTCCCCATGTTAATATTATGATTTTTCATATTTAAAAGTAATTAATGAATCTTAACAGCTGTTTCAATTAAACAAGTTGGTTCTGTTCTATGATGTTCAATAGCATAAAAGTTACACGGATTACCAACAGGGTGCAGCACTATTTTTTTTTTTTTTATTTATGACAATAGCTAATTTCCAACCAAAAGGTGTGTGAGCGTAGCGAACGAACTTCAACCTGGAGGCGAGTTAGCGTAGCGAACGAGCTAACCTGAAGGCAAGTGAGCGCAGCGAACGAGCTCCAACCTAAAGGTGAGTGAGCGTAGCGAACGAACTTCAACCAGGACGTGAATGAGCCATGCGAATACTTATGAAGTTAAACGGGGCGAAGCCCGCGGGTACAGCTAGTAATATAATATTTCCACAATATAATATTGATTTCAGATGTTTACAAAATACGAAACTGTCAACATGATCAACACACGTCAGGCGTATCGTCGGACGTATCAGTTTGTGAAAAAAATAATGTAGACTATATAGTAGCGCGGAGCATTTAGAATGATTAAAATGTTTTATTTAAAAAATTTAATTCAGCGAGCATTGCAATCGTCTTTGTGTTTACATAGATCTACTTTTTAGCTGACCTTTGGCCAGAGTTTCTCAGGCCAAAGGTCAACTAAAAACTAGATCCATGTAAACTTATTATATTTGATAAATAAGCGATAAACCTTATACGGTTAAAAATGCAACGTTACTGTTTATTTACCGCTTCCACAAAATAGGCCAAATCCACTAATTGAGTTCTATAATTAGTGCGATGTTAGACATAAAAATAACAAAGGCATCAATGTGATGTGTCACGATGGATTGAGAAAGAACTGTGGAATCCTTTATTTGAATTGCGTCTGTAGTTTGCCCTGAAGATGCAGTTGCAACGCATCTACAGTATTATCATTCAGGCATTTCTGTGGCCATCCATCTCCTGAAGATTCGACAACCTACTTTCACAATGGATGCCTACCATACTATGATGAAAGACTCAAGACTCAACAGGCATACAAGGAACTTTTAAGTATTCATGATTTTATAGAAAGGCGTATGGCAATAGTTTTTTTTATAGGGAAGTAGTTATTACCTTAGGTCTCATGGTAAGACCTGGGTCCGGGACTGATTTACTTTTTCATGTTGATGTCCCCAGACGCCAAAAACACTATTCGTTCAAATTTATATATATACGTCAGAAAAAATTGCAAAAAAATTGTAAATTCAAAATTACCTTGCTATTCTTATAGAGAATAAGTAAACTGTTGTAGTTTGCTTGTTTACGGATATATTGTAATCAAACTTGGCAAATTAACTAATTTTTTACTAAGCTATTGATATTCTACTAAAAACCCCACTTTATTACCCTCCTTGTAGCAGCAAACCTACGTACTTGATAAACATAATGTTACAGTATTTAAATAAACTAGCTGTTGCCCATGGGCTTCACCCCGTTTGACTTCATATCATAAGTATTAATAAAACTATTGATTGGTTAACAGCTGAAATAAACAACACAGAATGGTACTTTCCTTTTAAAGGGAACATTCATTATTATCGATGATTTATTTTCGATACATCGATAGTTTTGTTTTCCATCCGATATATTGATAGTAACAAATTGAAACATATCAGCTGACAAGTACGATATAGGATACAGTAAATAAATATTGTTCAGTATCAACAAACAATAAAAAAAAATATTAGCCTATATTAAACTGTTCTAAACTAACCTAACCAACCAAACTTGCTGTAACATTTCAAAAATCCGTTTGATAGCCTATTCCCCATATGCCTTTTCTCTTCTGTTATCAAATGGAATTTTGAAACGGTAACTTAGCCTATACATCAAGTTTGGTTAGTTATGTTAGGTTAATTTAGAATAGTTTCATGTCCTAATCCAATATAGGCCTATAGGCTATTATTTTGCCTACACAAGGTTAGTTCTTAATTTGTAATTTAAATGCGTTTGAAGATATTAAAACAGAAGGAATACCAATCGTGAAGTAAAACAAAAACATCGATATATCGAAAATAAATCATCGATAATAATGAATGTTCCCTTTAACATGAAAGTACCATAAATTGAAAGAATAACATACAAATAAGTACAGCCATGGTACAGCTGAGGCATTTTTAACATTAGGTATATGGAAAGTTCCCTTTAGAAAGGAATTACGACCATAAAGGGCAATTTATGAAATAATTGATAGTTTTGCACAAGGTTTCTCGTCATGACGAACATTTTAAGTATATGGTTTATGGGGGTGTGACTTGTGGTTTTCTCAAAGATTCATGGGTACTTTGGGATTTATATATGGATTTAATTTAATTGAAAATTCAATCGGGCAAATGGAAATTCACTTAGTCTGCAGGTTTGCTGCGACGGGGGGGTATTTTAACTTGGTTGTGCGAACATTTATGTTTGACAAATAAATACTTACCTGATGTCGATTATATTCTCTCCGTACTCGTTCTCTACGGCATTGCCTGATACGTCTTGGGTGTTGTTCTTTTTACAGTTGTAGAATGGCATACACGTGCAGCTGGCCATGTTTGTTTGGCCCTCTTCTTGTGGTTGTTGTTGATCTGTCGATGGCTTTCCAAATACATCCTCGAGAAGAGTGTCAACGTCTTCCTGACTTTGACAGAAGTTGGCACAGAACAAGCACAGCGCGACTACCGGTACTAGATAAAGAGATGTCATTTTCGCTTTTGAAGTCTGCTGAGATGAATACAACAAAACGAATAAGTATAAACAATGACATACAGTAGTAAACAAAAGTCGTTTATGATGTAGTCATCTTAGAACGGTCTTGTTTACATTCACTTGCCATGAAATTTAAGCAGTTTCATTTACATATAGTTATTACTATACATTTAACAGTACTAAATTAAAATGAGTTGCTATGTTGATTAACTTGGTCCCATAATGTCAAGATAAAATATAATAATAAATTATATAAATGCAGTCTTCTTTTACAAACTTAAAACGAAGATGATTTCAATTTTTTTAACATGCAGTATTAGTATGGCTAATAAGTGTTAACTAGTGAAGTAGTACCTCAAGAGTCAAGTGAACACTGTACTGTACTGCGTCGACTGCTGCGAGTGACTGGACTCGGACTGGTCGATGACTACCACAGTACCACAACAACACCACAAACACACACACAAACCAGTTCCCCCGACCTCACTGACACCGACAGAGGATACTGATACTGGCGACGTTCGCTCCCACACGCGCGCGCGCGCGTACAACTACGCTTTCTTTATTCGGTTTCTGGTCGGTTGCGAGATAGCACAGAAATAAGGAAAAATTTACTTAAACATCTTAATGTTTCACAATCAAATCAATGTGTCACCATATTTTTCTTATCTATCTATATCCACAGAAAACATACTGATATATCTAAGGCCCCTCGCCCACTATACGATTTCGGTCGTACGACACTGTGTCGGAACGACAACATTTCCGCAGTGAACCATTGGATCTTATGAGAGCTCGCCCACTGTACGATAATCTCACGACTACGACAAACTGTCGTGAAGCAGTCGTCCACTGCCACTGTGATACACGACTGTCGTACGACTGTCTAACTCGCAGTGGCGTGTACGATCAAATGGGCGCTCGCCCACTATACGATTTTTATCGTATGTCGTGCGTTCTCCCCAGTAGTCTTATATACTGTAGGCCTATACTTTTTGCAATTAACTCATACTTCGTCATTATTATAGTTGTTATATCACTTTGCGTATTTCTTATCGTGAATAAATATTTTTTACAATTCATGCATACTTTTTTATTATAATGTTTGATATATCACTTGGTCTTATTTTTCAACCATTATTTTGCGTAATTTTGATATTCCTATTTATTTTTTACAATTTGTTTATATTTTTCTTTATATTATGTCTAAATATTGCATCACTTATGAGTAAATATACCAAAATAATTATTGAAACAATGCTAGTTTGGCTATTATTTATTATTGTATAATCTTAATTATTAATTATATTGTGTAAAAAAGTTTCACTAAAACCTATAAATATAATTTTTTGTAGATTATATTGATAAAATTAAATCTATTTAAAAACTAATCCAAAACAATTTAACATACATACTTTTTACCAGACTATCCCAAAACCCTATGATAGTTATGGTAAATTTAAAAACTTGTAAAATGCATGGACTAATATAATTTGAAAATTTCTTTAAATACATTAACTTAAAAAATAATTTACACATAAAAATAAATGTTTCTTTAATGCTGTAGGCCTACATTGGCCACTATCACCACAGCAGCCACATTGCAACAACACGTAACGGAATCATTGTTTTACTATTTGATACAGAACCACTGTTTTAAGATATTGCGCAATACACCCACACCTCACTCTTCCAGGGCTACCGAGCAACTGGCCATTTATCCGACAAAGTGTCGTAAAGTGGGCGAGGACCACACAGATGATAAGAATATCGTACGACACAGTGTCGTACGACCGAAATCGTATAGTGGGCGAGAGGCCTAACAATGGATACTTTTATAACAATATGTTTTGGTCTGTCTATCTGTCTCTCTACTTGTCTGTTTGTTGTCTCAGTGTCCTACTATTTGCCACCAGTGTCGTTTGCCACCAGTGTCATTTGCCACCAGTAGGGTCAGTTCCTGGAATTCCCGCCGTGGCCGTTCCTATGAGTCATAACCATGTAGATGTACTTATATATTTTTTGGATATTAAATAAATGTTTATAACTCCAGTTACAACTGCGAATAATACAAAAATAACATTTGGCACAGTATACAGCGCATTAATGATATTAAATCCCATTAAAATACTTGAAAAGACGCAGTTTCGGTGTTTAGTATTCTGCGAATATACAGGGTGAAGAACGTACCACCTTTGCAATCTCAGAAACTATTCGATTTAGAGAAAACATTATATGGGGAATTTCAACTACTATTTTATGACATTTAAAAACATGAATTCTCTTCCAACTTATAAAGAAGAATAAAATCCAACTTCACTTCAAGTATTCCACTACACCTAACATTCCGTAGAGAGATTATATCGACAACTTTATGTTTTTGATAAGGCTAAAACAACAAACTGACATCCCCCATGTCAAGGAATTACAGCTTTAACAGTAACCCCACAATCAATTTCTCAAAACTATGCTAGGGGGTTCATTCATTTTCACAGAATTACGATATGAACTGACATGACGTGATAAAGGAAAAAAAAACTTACACTGTAACGGATATACCTCCCTTTGAAATTAGAATATGTCTTCCCAAAAAATATTTTATTTTAAATTAAAATCATATTACAATGATGAAATCACGGAAGTGTTTAATTACAAAAGATCCACCAATACGATTTTAATACTATTTAAAGGTTCTTCCAAAGGAAGAGATACCAGATAACATACTAATAATAACTCCGATGACGTACGGTATGGGGAATGTTTTATTCATTGAATAATCAACAAAATTTGACATTTAACGCAATTAATATCATTAGCCTATATTGTTTTTACACTTATTACTTTTTAAACAATGCTAAATGCTCAAAATATGTATATTTCACCAAATTTATCGCAGTTAGATGAATTAACCTGAGCCTTGAGAGTATCCGTCGATTTCGACGGGTTTCACCTAGTAAATTATAAATGTTTTAAAATTACATCTACATTCTAAAAAGACCATAAAATATATTGACATTATTCCTTTGAGACGTTAGGTTCATGTAACAGTTATGGGATAAACAACATATCTAAAAACTGTGTTTTGTTATCATAAGTTATCTTGAAGTTCTGTGGAAAGAATCCTTCATATGTCGGTATTATGTTGTGTAAAATTCTGCCTGATAACTTCTTAAAAATAAGCAACTAAAAACATGTATGTTGACCAAGTCCGTCTATCGTCTAAATTTATTTGTTGATTGAAGTGATTGACTGTGGTTTTATTGAGTACGTTATTAGTTTACATTTTTATTTAGCCGCTTTAGATATATAGTTTGTATTCAAGATTCATTTAACTGTGATGTCATTCTTGTGCAATATGCATCTACTTATATATAATTCAACTTTGAAAATCTTTGTACAACTAAATCTAGAGTTCTACTGGACTGATTTATAACACTTTGTAAAACTTGATGAGATGAGAACAGCACTAACTATGTCGTAACACTACAAAACCACAGATAGGAATGAGCATTTCCGTCGTGTATTTCCCTACTCCTAGAGAGAATGTTGGAATTTTTACCATACAAATGTTGCAAGAGAGGGTGATAGTGTGAATTATAGGTATTCCTTGGTCCATCGGCCGGTGCCTAGAGGGGTGATGACCCACGGACTAGGGTTGGGGCTGATGACTCACCGAGCCAGGTATAAAGTGGTGGCAAATGACACAAATCCTAGAGTGGTGGCAAATGACACTGGTGGCAAATAACACATATTCGTCTGTCCACCATACAAAAGCTACTGCAACGATCCCTTTGGTAAAATATTACCGCGACTATTGCGATTACAACTGGCTTTGTCATAAAATCGTTATCTTGATATACGCTTGTTCGTTTCCAGGGATAAGAATCTTTACTTGCATCATTGACTTTTAGTTATAGCAAAGATTTCTCATCCTGTACAAAATCTTAATTTCTTTTGATTTGTGTTAATGTGAAATGTTGTCGTCATTGATGTGTTCAAAATGTTTTCTATTAATTAAGTGTAAGTTTCTACAGGAGAAAAAAACCTTATAAATAGTTTATTTTGTCTGTTTGAGCCACTCATCTCCTTTCATACAGGTTTTAAAGTACCTATGGTCGCCATTTCAATGAAAAGTATAAAGTATAAGTATTTTCTCATTACATCATTGACTATATTAAAGATAACATTTTTAATAAAACTGTACAGGTCCCTCGATTAGAGAGTATTAAATTTGTTTAGGTTTTCATTAGTATTAATGAATCCTATCCTGTGTCAGGATTCAATTTGTTTGGTATCTAAAAGCACACACTGAGTAATTAATAGGTACATGATAGGACATGGCTTAAAATAATAGTAGTCATATAGCCTACCGCATTGGGTGTTTTCACTCAGGGTAAAGTAGGCCTACGAATAAAACTACTATTTGGTGTAAAAAGGATCGTGTCACCAACAACAACAAAAAAAGAAAATACGTGTTGTAATCCTGCATTTGATTTACTTTGGCGCTGGTAAAATTGTGCGACTAAATTGGCTTTGCTCCTAATTGGGGCCTTTATTGCCTAAGTTGTGTTGACGTCAAATGCTGTATTTTCATAGACGTATCCACTGAATTCAAGATATGTACCTATGTAGTTTAGACTCCTCATTTTGTTACACCCGAAGGAGAGCCGTGACATTGAATATTGAATATACTATATAGGTATGCGGTCTCAGGTCCGCCAATTGAGCGCAGGGAACAACATAAAAAAATCATTCTTTCTTAATAATGTTGTATAAGCCTAAAAAAAATTATAACATAACCAAAGGAACTTTTATTGTTCAATACAATACTTCATCATACGAGTACTTAATGTCAATTTCCTGTTCTTGTTTATGCTTGTAACCCTCCCCATAGAAAATGACTCAATCATTAGCAAGCGCTCGATGGTTCTTACTTTCGACAACCCTAGAAGGTAAGCCGAGGGTAAATAAGCGCTCGATGGTTCTTACTTTCACAACCCTAGAAGGTAAGCCGAGGGTAAATAAGCGCTAGATGGTCCTTACTTTCACAACCCTAGAAGGTAAGCCAAGGGTAGTAAATAAGCGCTCGATGGTTCTTACTTTTACAACCCTAGAAGGTAAGCCGAGGGTAAATAAGCGCTCGATGGTTCTTACTTTCGACAACCCTAGAAGGTAAGCCGAGGGTAAATAAGCGCTCGATGGTTCTCACTTTCACAACCCTAGAAGGTAAGCCGAGGGTAAATAAGCGCTCGATGGTTCTCACTTTCACAACCCTAAAAGGTAAGCCGAGGGTAAATAAGCGCTCGATGGTTCTTTCTTCCATAACCCTAGAAGGTAAGCCGAGGGTAAATAAGCGCTCGATGGTTCTTTCTCCCACAACCCTAGAAGGTAAGCTGAAGGTAAATAAGCGCTCGATGGTTCTTTCTTCCACAACCCTAGAAGGTAAGCCGAGGGTAAATAAGCGCTCGATGG